ATATTAGTGGAGCTCAAAATCCGGCAGACATGTTAACAAAGACGGTGACTACGAACAGACTGAAGTTGTGTTCATCTTCAGTTGGCATGCTAGAGTAACAAGACCAAAAATGTTGTTGCATTGATCTAGGTGTGAAGACAGATTAAAATTAGTCTTCAAGTAGGAGATTGTTGGTCAAACTTGCAGTGCAATAAATGGCAATAGGAGAAATTGGTTGCCAAGTCAAACTTGCAGGTGCAATAAATGGCAATATGAGAAATTGGTTGCTAACCCAACAACCCAATTGACGGTGCATCTTTTGTTGAAAATAAGGAAAGCCAATTAAATGAATTAGTTGGTAGAAATAAGAATGGGGGGATTCTGCATCTTTAAATAGCTCACCCCAATAGGTTCTTAAAATCCAAGTGAGAAACACAAAGAAAAGCTTAGAGAGAAATACTTTAATGAGAGAAAATTGAGAGCAATTTTTAGGGTGTAATTGGGTTGTGAGTTGTGAGTGATTTTTGTAAACACCTGTAAATTTTCTCCTTTAGTAAAAGATATGCAGCAGTCTGGAGACGTAGGCATAATTGGCCGAACTCCGTTATCAATTTTGTGTGTTATTATTCGTTTTTATTTCACTTTTATTTCGCATTCTCACTAATATGGTTATAGGGAAATTACACGTTTAATTTCCCAACAGGTAACAACACTCTCCTTTGTCTGATGTTGGTGTTGATTGATGAATTTGTTTCTTGCAAACCAAAGGGACCAGATGGTTACTGCTAAAAAATATGTTTGCTTTTAGTATGAGATTTAATAAGTCAAAGGAGCCAGTCTTCAAAACATTTTGACTAGCTTATATCTAGCATCCTCCAAATTGATCTTGCATATTGGCAATCCCTGCTTACATGAACATTGTCTTCCATTGACAGATTGCATGTAGTGCAGAGGTTGCTGGAGCTGACATGTTTAATAAATAAATGTTGCATAGTAGGGATATAGTTTCTTATGAATTTTCACATTAAAATTTTGGTCTTATTCTTACATGGTAGATTCCAGATCATCTTGAAAATATTAACATTACCTCCATTATCAATGTTGCAACCGATTAGGAGTTTATATCCACTCCGTGCTGTATAAATTCCAGTGCCTTCATATTTCCAACAAAAAATGTCTTCTTGATCATACATAGGTATTCGAATTTTTAGAATAGACTCTGCATCCTTCTCGTTAAGAATTAATATAATCAATGTTCCAACTCTGTCCGTCATCAGAAATAATGTCTGAAACTAAACCCACTTGTGCTGATGAGGTTGAAGAAACTCTGCGAACTGGGAAACCCGGAACCCACTTGTCTGAAAATTCATTGTACATTGCCTGCATATGGTAGGACATTTATGTAATTACGACTGTATGAAGTTCGAATAAAACTCAGAAAATAAAAAATGTCGTTCATGGAAGTGTACGAGTCTACTGCCGTAAAAAATGCCGTCTCCAACCAACCGGAAGGCTTGAGAGAACAACCAAGGGTCGGCTTTGGGAATAAGACTAATACCATCAGCGAACCTCCAACGCCGCCGTAAAATACACCTTTTCCGTCAAGTTATCATGTCAAAGATGAGGATCCTTCAAAAACTTTTGTTCATGGGGGATGAGGTTAATCTTCAGAGACCAAAAGGGTTGGAGGAAGACGATATTACTAGAAAAGGGGAATAACAACACGTATTTTAGTTTTTTTTCATCTAGTTCAAACTGAATGGTCTATTAAATAGGTTTTATTTCATTAAGTAACCAAGTAAGTAGCCTAGTTTGGTGGCAAAGTGAATTTCATTTCATTCTTTAGACTTAGATTTGAGTCATTTCTTATGCATTTCACATTTTCATAGTTCCATTAACCAAAAACTAATCTGAGAGTGACAAGTGTCATTCTCTGATTGGTAAGAATTAATTAAATATAAATAATAAATTTTATTTTTTAAAAAATCTGACGTGGCAGTGCCACATCATCAATCAGCATGAGCTAAACATTCACTTCATCTTTTCCCTCCACGTGTGCTTGCCCCGTCAGCATCAGTCGTTGACCGTCAGTTGACTAATGGTTTCCATCCACTGTTGGTTGTTTTTGATCCAAAACTAAACGTTGAGTGGTCAAATGTTCAAAAAAATACGGGCAAGTTTGACACCACTGTCAAATGTTACGGTTATTTTATTGCATTATGCCTATTTTTAACATAATAAAAAATTGTAAGAAAACAATAAGTATTTATTTAATTATGATATAGATTTAGATTTTTGATATCCTTATTTTTAAAAGGACATTAATAATAAATGGCAAAGAGGCACCCCAAACCCCTGTACTTAAAAAAATTCAATGTGGTCCTCATACTATTTTTTTCTCAATGTGATCTTTCAACTCAGAAAATAAACTCAATGAGACTCTTTGACCAATGTTTTCCGTCGTTGATCGTTACTAGGGCTATAAATGAGTCGACTATTACTAAGCTCGACTCGACTCGAAAACTCTGAAATGGAGTTCAACTCTGCTCGAAAACCAGCGAGTCTAAAATTTTCAAGCTCGACTCGAACCTGAAACCATGAACTGAAGCTCGTAAAAGCTCAAAATGAAAAAAATCTTAAATTTGACTCGATTGAAGCCATAAATTCAAACATGAACTTAAATACATGAAAATCTTATATAACATTTTAAAAAAAAGCAACACATAAATATTAATATTATTAATAATTTATTTAAAAAAAATAAAAATCTTAATATATTATATTTTCGAGATGCTCGCGAGTTTTTGGAGTCGAGTATCAAGTTACTTGTTTTGACTTGTTAAGAACTTGAGTCGATCTTGAGTTCGAGTCTAGTATATATCGAGCTTTGACCAAATCAATTTCGAGTAGCTTATGATCTGTCTCATCTCATTTAAAGTCCTAACTGTGACAATGCTAATGTGGTAGTTCACGGTGTTGACGTAGCAGTCCACGATATTGATGTTGTAGTCCATTGTGATTGATGATGTGGCAAATAACATGACGGATGGACAAAATTGATTTTTTTTATATTTTGTTCGAGGGTCAAATTGAAAATATAAATGATTAAAATTTAACTAATCGATTATAAAAGTGACCAAAATTTAATATATTGATGACATAAGTAATCGAATTATATTATTTTCTTTCTAAATTTAATAATAAAAGGCATACAAATTCACAATCATTAATTGGTAGTTCAACCTTGATGAGGCGATAATTTTTTCCTCATTCAATGGCGTCCTTTCCGATTGATTAACGGTTTATTTATTTGAAAGTTAGGGTTTAGGGTTTACTAGCATAAGGCATTAAATTCTCTTCGACAATAAATATCTGTAATTTTTTTATTTCTTTTCAAATTATTACACGTCTCTTTGAAAAAAAAATTGATATTTTAAAAAAATAAATCATAAGTTTTATGGTAAGATAAGGAAACCACAATTAACATGAGATAAATTAAAAAGTGCAAATATGGGAAGTTGTTATTGTAAACTATATACATGGGAACTTCTCTGTTACATTCGAACAAAGTTTGCATAAATGTTGATTCATGATGTATATTTCTCTCCACCTAATTATACTCGTGATAACTCATTTAATTTTAAATATTATAGTATATGATGAGTCTGCCACGCTCGACGAGCACCGCTGAGTATCACTAACTATAAGCATTGCTGAGCATCAGTAATTTAATTTATAAAAATTAAAATTCTAAAGACTCGATGTATAATTATAAATTAGTTAAAAGTTTAAAGGTAAATTATTTAAAATAAAATATTAATTACATTATTTTTCTTTTTCTTTTTTCAACAATAATTGGATCAAATACCAACCCCTAAATTAAAAAAATCATAAATATTCTTTCCTTGACATTGAAGCCGTCATCGTCGTTAGACTCTCATGTCGGCAAGATAGTCGTCGCCGTTCCTCCCTCCCTATGTGGTCGCAGTTCATCTCAGTCGTCGTTCCTCACTGTTCTCGCAGCTAATCTAGTAGGGATGCACCCGTCGATGACGGCTTGGACGGCCGCCAAGTCTAAAACAAAATAAAAATAAAGAAAACGACTATCTCACCAGAAGAAGAAGCTAACGCGACATCGGCTTCAATGGCAAGGAAAAAATATTTAGGGTTTTTTAACTTAGGCTTGGTATTTAATCCAATTATTGTTAAAAAATTATGGAAAATAATATAATTAAAAATTTATTTTAAATAATTTACTTTTAGATTTTTAACTAATTTATAATTATACGTTGACTCTTTTAGAATTTTAAACTTTTATAAACTAAATTAATGATGCTCAATGGTGTTCATCATTAGTAGTGCTCAGTGGTGCTCGTCAAACGATGTAGAATTTTCTTATAATATATATTTTTTGTTTTCCTCCTGGTATCAGAACTTTGTTCTGATTAATCCAGACCAATCCGTTGCACACCTGGTTTTGGTGGGTGAGTCTCCTAACCTTGATTTTCTGCATACACAAAGACTCAAATCTGAGATCTTATTTAAGTAATATAAGGGTGTTTTTATCATTTGAACCAACCCATTGGTACATATCATAATATATTTAATTTATTATAAAAACTGATATAATTTTAAGTAGAAGTAAATATTCTTGATTTTAAATGTAAACATTAAATTTGGTAGAAGTTACATGCATGAATGTCCACCAAATTAATTATAATCTTTATATAGAAATTCCACCTAATAATAAGGTAATTGTGTTCATATACTACTTTGAAAATAGCATTAATTTAGAAGATTTTTATGGAAATAATACTATTGATTTCCAAAGGCACTAATTCTGAACAAGTGCTTCGTCATGATTCTCAATCTTGTGTTTAAATGATGCAAGTAACAACTTCACACTGGGATTTATTTCCATAATTGCATGATATTACATAAATTAAGTCCTTAATGTTTGCATATATATATAAATCAATATCCCAATATTTCACATAAATCAAGAAATTTATATTTTGGCAATGGTTACAATAGTTGAAGATCTTAGTGAACATTCAAGCATATCGGTAGAGATGGAAGGATCGGTTCCGAAACCGAGTACCAAAATCGAGTCAAGTCACGATGTTTTGCTAGATTTGAAGCTCTCAAACCATGCCAGAAATGGTGACGACGTTGACACTAAGGTGCGACGCGCATCGAAGATCGAACTCGATCTTTTCGCCCCGAGGAACCCTATTACTTCCCATGATGATCAGAAAAGCAAGGGGTTCTCGTGTAACTTTTGCAAGAGAGTTTTCTCCACATCCCAAGCCTTGGGGGGACACCAAAACGCTCACAAGCAAGAACGAGCGTTAGCCAAAAGGCGTCACCAAGGGCTCATCGAAGTGAACCCATCTCGCAATTTCGGTCTCCCAGACTTTGCCTATCATCCGTTTTCGACCTATTCTTTGAATCCTTTTCATGGATCTTTCAACAGATCACCCCTTGGGGTTCAATTCAACTCGATGGTTCGTAAACCAATGCACCCATGGTCACCGTCCTCGTCCCGACCGTATCATCTTCCCCATGGTAATTGGTCGTCTAGGCAACCACTAATGAGCTTTTCACAACCAAATCTATGCTTTAACAGTGGAGGGCCTTCAAGTAGTGAAAACCGCTGCCTTGGCGAGAATTTTCAAGCGAATGTTGGTGCAAGTGCAAGTGCAAGCACATCTTTGGGAACTGATAATCAATACAAGGATGGTTCAGGAATTGATTTATCCCTTAAGCTTTAGTTATGGTTTTATTGCTCATTTTATTTTCATTAATTCAGTCTATTGTTGTAATTGGGTGTGTTTACAGCTTAAACTTTTATGCCTTAAATAATTAAGTGATTTGTGAAATCCAAAGTGATGTATTTCCCGTATTAATTATTTGTCTTATTATTGCATATTTATTAAATATGTTCATGGTTGGGAAAGTAAAATTTGTTTTTCTTTATTTTTTTATTTAAGTTCAAAATTTCATATCATTATTGTATCATTAATATTTAGATATATTTTTATTATTTTAACATGAATTTAATTTATCTAAATCCAATCTGAACAGAACATCAACTCGATTTTATCTTGATAATTAAGTATAAGTGAACAAATAATTTGTTTTTATTATCATAATTTCTAGTAATGTGATAAATATTAAAATAATATATATTTTATTATTTTTTATTATATTACTTCTTTTGTAAAAAAATATTACTTCTTTTCCCTATTAAATTTGTCTCTTATTATCTTTTTTTGTCATTTTTTAACTTCGACTCATTATTATTTAAAATTTACTATTGATAAAAATATAAAAAAATATATTTTCAAAACCTTAAATCAATTAATTTTTAAATATATATTTTATACAACTTAATTGTTTAAAATATTTAAAATAATCATGGTCAAAATTTAAAAATTTGTACTTTTAAAAAATCAAGACAAAATTAATGAGATTGAGGGAGTAATAGTTAACTACCATATTGGTAATAATTCCAATGTTCATATATTATTACACTACTAGTTACCAATCACTTTCGTATTATCTACTTTTTAAAATTTAATTAGATTCTTTTCAATCTCAATTTGAATTGACCCGAAGATTCAAAGGTCAACTCCAAACTGAAAATTGATTGGTCTAATATTGACTTGACTAAAAAATCGACTGATCCAGTATTAGTTCGATCTAAAAATTTACCGATATGATATTGACTTAACTCAGTACCAAACCCGACTTGACTTACTATAAAACCCGAACTAAATCTGAACTAGATTTGATCCGATCTGAACCGAACTTAAACTAAATGTAGTTTAGACGTGAAATAATCTAACCTAAAATAATCTGACTCGTATCTGATCCCAACAACCTGATTATCACCACTAGTTGAATCAAATTGGATTCAAATCAATGTGAATGAGAGAATTTCATCCAAGTTTAGCCGAATACGATTTTCATATTGGATGGACATATTATATTTTTAATAGTCTAAAGTGATTACAATGTAGTATTTGTTCATAATATTACATTGTCCGGATGCTGCAATTCCTTATTATCATTAGTAGGCAATTCTATTAAGATATAATTTTATTCAAAAAGCATTTGTTGAGTTAAATTGAATTCAAATCTACTTAAATAAATAAAAAATTTATCCAAGTTTCAAAAATAAAAAACGCTTCTATAACATGGAGAGGGATCGTTAATAATTTGAATAGTGAAGAAACAGTTAAATGGATGAGCGGAGATTCATTTCGATGGATAGTGGGCGATAGGAAATCAGCACTGTTTTGGGAGGATGTGTGGTATGAAAAAATGCTCTAAGGTCAAGATACCCTCGCATATACAGGTTAGTGTCAAGAAAATATAAAACGGTGTGTGAAATGTTTAGTGCAGGCGAATGACAAAGTTTAGATACGACAACCCTTTTCGAGAGACATTTGTTGGATAGGGAACAAATCATTGTACAAATTATAAAAGGAGAAGTGGACAAAGTGAGTTTAAACCCGTCTGTGGCTGATCAGATCATATGGGTTCATGGAACTGATGGAATGTTCAAGGTCAAGAAATTGACAGAGTAATTGCTCAGTAATGGGAGCTTAGAAGATGAAGTCTCGTTCAACTTCAATAAAATATGGAGTCTAAAGGTTCCTCCGAAGGTGAAATATTTTCTATGGATGCTAAAATTGAATAGAGTGTCAACAAAGGTCTTCCTTAAAAATAGAGGGATTAAGCTGTCCGATAATCAATGCTTATGTCCTTGGTGTGGAGATGCTGAAGAGGATGCGAACCATTTGTTTGTGTCATGGATTTTTATGGGATGTTTCTGGAATGCTTTTTGCAGGTGGTGGCATATTACAGGATGTAACAAGCAAACAGTTGACGAATTATTTGAGTTTTGTTATCAGTTTCGATGGACAGGATCTATAGCATTGACTTGGTATGTAAGCTGTGCAGCGGCGTTTTGGAGTCTGAGGCTGGCCAGGAATGATTTTGTTTTTAGGAATAAAGGCACTAAACTTAAAGACCTTCTTGTATATGTGAAGATGAGAGCGTATGCTTGGTGTAAAGCGTTGGAGGAATTTAGTGTTCTAGATGAGAAATACTGGTGAGATTGGCTTGGGGATTCAACCGGTTCAAGTGCATATCAATGTCCGAAGACAGTCTGGCAGCCGCTTGCGACGGGTCAAATGAAGTTCAATGTGGATGGTTCAGCAACAAACGAGATAGCAGGATGTGGGGGAGTATTAAGGACACATACGGATATGTAGTAGCAATGTTTTTTGGGTCGGTAACAGAGGTTAATTCTGATTATGCAGAGCTGGTAGCAATCAAAAGTGCATTAGAGGTGTTCATTGAATCTTATTGGTGTGTTAAGGCTATCCTGATTGTAGAATCTGATTCTAAAGTAGTGTTGAATTGGGTTCAAAATTCTTATGTTCGACCATGGAGGTGGGGAGCAACTTTTCAGGAAATTGATGTTAATGTACTGAAGATAAATGATGTAAAGTTTGTGTTCATGCCTAGGACTAGCAATAATATGGCAGATTACTTGGCAAAGATGGGTTCGACGAGGAAAATTATGTTCAAGGCAAGTTGGTGACACTATAGCAACGGAGTTTTATTATTAAACAGTGTTATCATTATCTAGCAGGTTGGTTGATTTTGATTGGCATGCAGGTAATTGGGGGTTTCCTCATTTAATTAGATACTGTGATGGATTTTTGAAGAACCGGCAATTTTATCTTGTCAATGCGGGGTAGTTTGGTATAAGGAGTGCTTTTACCTTCATTTTGTGTAAATCGTTTTGTGTTCTATGAGCTGTTCCCCAACTGTGGAGTACTCTTTTCCCCCATTTAGGATTAGGGTGAGGCTCTAAGTTGGGGTATGTAAATCTCTAAGTTAAATAAAAATTCAGGTTGCTGAGCAAAAAAAAAAAAAATACTATTGACTTTTCATATTAGATGGACAGAAAATATTACATTGTCAACACGTTGCAATTCCTCTCATGTCTTTAGTTGGCAATTCTATTAAGAGGAATCATCCAAGAAATAAATGATTTTTTTGTTAAATTTAGAATGTGATGATGCTTCCAGGTGATTTTATCCCCTTTTATTCTAATAAGGTGCATTAGATGGAATTTTTTACCCTTAGGATGGTAGCTAAATAGACCATCCTTACTAGATTCATCTAACAGTCTGGAAAGTATATGTTCATGGCTATAACAGAGTGAAATTGGATCACCTTGTCTAACTACTTTACCACCTTTAAAGTATCCCACGATACCAAGGATATACCAATGGAGTTGGTATAACGGTTGTCCCTGAAATCTCAAATTCTCGTATAATTGAAGTATTTTTTTGTATTTTCTATGAAAAATTTATTTTAACCCCTAAAATTTTATAGTTCGTCCCTTAGCATAAATCATACATCCGTCACATAGATTCGATTTTTTTTGCAAAGGTCAATTTGATTTTTTTTCACGAACTAAGCGACTTTAGTGATCAAATGGATGATTGTTATCCCTAGAGGACTCGAGTTCGAGCACCAGTGATTGCAGGATATTTGAGCGTTCATTGTCAAATGGTTGAGAGTCTTTAGAGAAGATACTACCACTTGTAATCACTCTAAATTTTTATTGTTTTTATTTTTCATGAAGTAAAAGAATGAGTGGGAACATGAAAATTTTAGTTTTCCCACTAAATATTTCAAATAAAAAATATATAGGATGAAAACGAAAAACATAATAGTTTGATAAACAATTCAAAAATAACATTGAAATAGTAAAAGACCTTTAGAAATAATTTAAAATTTTAAAATAAGAGAATAAAAAACTTTCAATAATTTAGTCCAAATTTTTTCTAATAGTTAAAAAAAGATAGGATTTACAATTATTCAAAATTTAAAAAGTTTAGAGGTCCATTCGCAATTCAAAATCATGAGGGTCATGCCCCCAAAGTCCTTAACCTTCCCACATTTTACCTAAGAATGGTTAAATAATTTGAATACAATGTGTTTCAATTTGATTCATCATTATAAGCCATTTTTTAAATTTTGGGATCAATGAGTCGTGAAGAATTTTTAGAAAATAAATAATTGAGATCGAGATGAAATTGGGTTTAAACACATCTTTTTTTTTTCTCAATAAATATGCTTTTATTAATAATCATAAAGCTTTATCTGAAGTAAAATGTCTCATTAAAAATCTCTCTAAGATTGAGAAAAAGAATACAACCCAGCGAAACGAAGAACAAACAATTGAGACAACCCTTATTGAACAGTCAACCTGCCCTGAAAATATCTCTCAATCACACCATCCTCCGTTTAGTACACACTCACAAATAACTTCATCGTGTGTTGCCATACCATTCACGTTAAATTTCACAAAACCAGGCAATGGAGGAGCTGATTAACCCACCATTCATCTATATTGATAGCCCAATCGTCTTTGGAAGACTTAATCCAGAACAAAGCACGCAATTTAGAATAGAACAGAATATCAGCTAGAACTACAGGTTTATCATCAAACTCTTTTTCATTTCTTGCCAGCCACAAGATCCATATCGCAGCTCTAGCCGAAATCAACCAAAGGCTCTTGAGAATTCATGGAATTCGTTGAGTAAAAAAGGATTGAAAGAAGCTCAAAATATCCGGTTGCAAAAACCACTGAACCCCCCACCAATCGCAAAAGGATTTCCAAAAAGCGGCAGCAAAATCATGACCCACAAAGAGATGGAAAGAGTCTTCAACTACAAGGCGC